TGCTTCGCATCTAGGAAGCGTCTCAGCCGCACACACCCGACCTCCGCGAGCGCCCGACCACCGAGGCAGGACTTACAGCCCAGTTTTCCCACCTTGGCTCAGGCACGAGGTTGCCTGGTTGCCGTGGCGCCTGCATTTTCTCCCCTGCTTCGGTCACGCTGTCGCCACACAACAGTCTCAGGTCTCCCCTCGGCTTCCGGGCGAAGGTGAGATGCCCAGACAGATGGGCCGCCCAAAGCTGGGGGACGCGTCCTCCCACTCCGCTTGGGCCCCCACCTCGCACAGGCAAGAGGATCCCGGACGAGCCCCCAAAATGTGAGAAACACACTCACTGGTCCGAACCCAGTAAGTGGACACGGAGACAAAGAGGGCAGCGGAGCGAGGCTTTAACGACGGCCTTGCATGGTCGGGTGTCTGGTGGGCAGGCACCCCTGAGGCTGCTGGAGCCAAGTAATTTATTCCCAGGAACGCGAGTCCCTCCCCTGGGTCCACATTGGCTGAGTCCCCGATGTCACCTGAACCAGTTATACCCACATTGGGCCTTCTCTTGCATTTGTCTTAATTTCATTGGTACGTTTAAAAAACAAAAACAGGTATAGCCAGGTCCTTACCAGTCCCCCAGGCCCCCACCCCGATTCTCAGCCAGAGCAGCTTCCTGGCATATTTTCCACCATGTGGCCCTTTGTTAAAACCTTACCTTTAAAATGTTTAAAACTCCTGGTGGGAATAAATTACATTAGGTTTTATGCTTTTTCTAACACACTACAAACTAGGACTTAATTATAAAACTGAAAGACTAGACTGATGAACAATGGAGAATATGTGAATAATGCAGAGTAATCTTAAAAGTGTATGGAATATGTGGTCATTACATTGTACATAGCACAAAAAAAACCTGAGGAACAAAAATTAGCTTTTATTTGTTAATGAAAGGGAAATAGCCACAAATAGGCAAAAGATATTAACAGACATTTTACCAAGAAGATATATAGATGGCAAACACATGAAAAAAACTCAACATCCTGAATCCTTAATGGAAAGGCAACTAAAATTACTGCTTATTAAAAGGGCAAATTCAAAAGACTGACCATACCAACCATCAGCAAGAATGCAGAACTGGAACTCACACACTCCTGGTGGGTATGCAAATGCAAACTATTTTAGATCACAGTTTGGCAGTTTCTTAGTAAGTCAAACATTTACCTATCATATGACTCAAGCATTATACTTTGAGTTACTAACACAAGTGAAATATACATACAACATATAAAGAATTACACACAAATGTAGTAGTTTTATTTGCAATAGCTGAAACTGGAAGTTATATAAATGGACATAACAGATGAATGTATAAACAAATGGTACATTCATAAAAGACACTATTCATCAATAAAAAGAATGCTATGTATATAATCATCATTGGAGAATCTGTTACTACAAACTATGAATGAAACCAGAAAAAAACATTTCACGAATAAAGTCATACAAAATTCTAGAAAATACAAACTATTACATACATGAAGGTAAAGGAATGGTTGCTGGAGAGGGAAAAGGCATTATTAAATGACATGAGGCAAATTAGGGGTGCTGGACATGTTCATTATCATGATTATTATGAGGTTTTGTGGGTTTATATGTATGTCAAAACAAATTGTACATTTCAAACAGGTCATTATCAACTATACCTGAATAAAGTTTTACAGAATAGTTAAAAAAAAGAAAAAAATTTAGATTTCCCACTCTCTCTAGAAAATCAGGTTTGGCGACCTTATATTGACTCTCTTTCCCCATAACCCTTGAGAAGCAAGCAGCCTTTCCTAAGTGGCAGCAGATGTTGACAGCAATGGCATCTGTTCCACCTGAGTCACAGGACTGGGGTTGGGTCACAGGGCCACAATGCTGGACTAAGGGATCTACTTTGTATGTTTGCTTTCTGTGCAGAAAGTCTTTAGGTGACATACCAGAAAGGTTATGGGAAGCTTATTTTATTTGACAATGACCTCAGTTACAAAAGATACACCTGCCTGGAGTTACTGAGAATATCTGTGTACACTGACAAATCAGTCACTGTGGAGCATTTGTTAATGTAATTGTAGAAGAGAAACATTCCAGCTACTTTGCTGCAGTCTCCCCCATTCCAGTGGTACTGTACCCATTTTGGTTCTGCCAGGGCCCTTTTTACAGTGACACCAGTCTAATGAATTCTGGCTATCAGTGCATATGACCCCTTTGCCAGACCTGGAGTAGAGATTTCCCCTCAACACGGCTGAACATTATGTGATACCCACTGTAAACAAGAAAAATATTCATGTTGTTCCTAAAAGCACTGGAGGTTGTCACAGATTCCTTACTCCCCAGGGTGCTGAGTCCACCAAAAAGTCCTGGCACCCAGTCCACAAATTATGGCAAGACCCTGTACTCTTTCCTAGGAGACCTTGGGCAACAACATAAACTAGGCCAAAACTGGAAAGAGAGTTACATTATTCCATCATACTGTTGTCTCTGAGGCACACAGAACATAGGGACCCCCATGAAAGCTGCTCACTCAATGCCTGACAAGAGACCCCAGCTGTTTTCAAATCACCTCACCTAGTGAAGAGAACCTGAAGATCAAAGGTGACTTAGACAATAATGCCTTTATTACTGTAAAATCCAAAGCAATATGTGGCAGGAAGTTCTTAGGTTGACCTGGAGGGTGGGAAAATCCAAGATAAGTGTCACATGAAATGAACATACCTTTGTGAATGCAGTTCTTGGCAAATCCCCAGAACTCAGACTGGGTCCACTGGGTCAGGTCCATACCCTAACTTATAGAGAAGGGAATGAGGACCTTATAAGAGCTAAGACCAGTCAAGATTACCTCCAGCAAATGGGGAGGGGAAAGAGGTCAGTATCCCTGAGCATGTTGGGACGGTAGCTGATGTACACTGTGTAGCAGAGATGCAGTAAACTCAGCCAGAGAAACTGGCGGCGATTTAAATCTGGCAAGGACCCTGGGAAGGTTAGAAGGTATAACACAGCTCCTTAATGATTCCCACATACCTGGAACTTAAGGGGAATCTCCCCACTGTGGGTTTTCAGATGTATGGGCTCACATTCAGGTAGATGGCTCCCTCACAAATTCTATCCTTCAGTGTCATAATTTAAGAAAATCACATATCCCCGTACATCTAAGGCCTTTCACTAGTATGAAATCTCTGGTGTAGAATAAGGTCAGATTTGCAGCTAAGAGATTTCCCACATTCACCACACTCATGAGGCCTTTTTCCAGTGTGAACTCTCCGGTGCTGAATGAGGCTGGAGCTTTGGCTAAAGGATTTTCCACATTCCCCACACTCATAAGGCCTTTCTCCAGTATGAACTCTCAGGTGTTTAACGAGGTTAGATTTGCAGCTAAAGGACTTTCCACATTCACTGCACTCAATAGGCCTTTCTCCAGTGTGAACTCTCCAGTGGTTCTTGAGGTTGGAACTATGGCTAAAGGATTTTCCACATTCCCCACACTCATAAGGCCTTTCTCCCGTGTGGACTTTCCGATGTGAGCTGAAGCTGGAGCTCTGCTTAAAGGATTTTCCACACTTACTGCACTCATAAGGTCTTTCTCCAGTGTGAAGTCTCTTGTGGTGAATGAGGCTGGAGCTCCGGCTAAAGGATTTTCCACATTCACTGCACTGATGAGGCCTTTCTCCAGTGTGAACTCGCCGGTGATAAATGAGGCTAAAGTTTTGGCTAAAGGATTTCCCACATTCACTGCACTCATAAGGCCTTTCTCCAGTGTGAACTCTCTGATGTTGAATGAGGTTGGACCTTTGGCTAAAAGATTTTCCACATTCTCTGCACTCATAAGGCTTTTCTCCAGTGTGAACTTTCCTGTGGCTATTGAGGCTATAGCTTTGGCTAAAGGATTTCCCACATTCAGTGCACTCATATGGCCTTTCTCCAGTGTGAACTCTCCGATGTATAATGAAACTGGAGTAATAGGTAAAGAATTTCCCACATTCACTGCATTTGTAAGGTCTTTCTCCAGTGTGGACTTTCTGGTGCTGAATGAGGTTACATCTTCGTGTGCAGGCTTTTCCACATTTGCCACACTCATAAAGTCCTTCTCTAGGAAGGACTCTCTGGTCCTGAACAAATGTGTCTGTGCAGCTGAAGGCTGTCTTGCATTCTCTCCAGTTGTGATGACCTTTTCCACTGTGAAAGAGAGCTTCATACTCATTACCATTGTTTGGCTTCTCCCTGATATGACTGACATGTTGATGGAGAAATCCCACACTGGATAAGAAGTCCTTCCTTATCTCCTCACAGGTAAAGGGCTTCCCTGACACATGGACTGTGCAGCTCTTTATAAATGAGGCTCTGTTCACATAACTTTGGAAGGGTCTCTCTCCAATGTGCTGCCCCTGGTACTGTTGAAGACTGGCAGTGAAATAGAATTGTTTCCCACATGTATATGGTTTCTGCCTAAGGTGGGTTCCACGGTGTTCAGCCCTGTGCAAAATGTTTCTCAAGATTGGGCCACATGTCTCAGAGGGCTGGGCCCTCTGGGGAGATGAACCTGTCTTAAGAATCCTCATCTGTGAACCTCCTTCTGCAGAAATGCTGTCCTCAGAAGGTGCATCCCAATCTTCCGCTCCTTGCTGACAACCTGAAAGCAACAGTGAAGTACATGTTGACTTTACTGGAAGAGGGTAAAACCATACCAAATGTACATCTGACACCGGGAAGTACCAGCCTATGAGGCTGTTTTGAGGAAAAAGAAGTTGGGGTCAGACTAAGGAAACAGCTGCTGTGTACTCCTGAGTCCAAAAGGTTACAGAATTGGGAAGGTCTCACCAGGCACAGGATATAAGGATGTGGCCCAGAGAGGAAAGCATGTTCTACAACTCATTCTTCTGTCAATGGCTTTTAGCACAATTATATCTGTTGGTGACATGTGAAGCTGTGAAGAAGTCTCTGTCCAGGACCAGGAAAATCTGACTGGAACAAAGTGACTGGTTTTCAAAGGTTATTAAAAGATATGCACACACTTTAGGATACAACAATGCTGGAAATCATTGTATAGAGGACAGTGTGAGGACTGAGAGAAGCAGTTCAGGGAGGTGGAGACTAGTCCCGGGCTAGAGTTAGGAAAAAAAATGACAAGTCAGCAAAGTGTCAAGGATTGAAAGGGGAAGGTAGAAGTGAAGTGTGGCCACTGGCAACGGCACCAAAATACTTAAACAAAAAGTCAAATAGGATAGGTTCCCAGTATGACTTGAATAAAGCCCTGACATCATGCCCTCCCCAGCTGCCATTCACCCGGGCACACTCTGAGCCCACCTTGTTTGGACTGGAATCAGGTCCAGCCTGCGAAGCACAAAGGACTCTTGCCCGAGCCCCACTGAACAACTGCACAGGACCTGGGCGATCTAGATTTTAAGGGAAAGACAGGGCAGGTCAGTGGGCAAATACCAGAACAACTCAGCACACAATAGCTCACAGGCAAAATATTTAAATTATACAAAAAGTACCTCCAGGCACAGCTAGAGGGCAGACAGCATAGTAAGCACCAAGAATCTGTCTCCCAACCTAGACAACAACTAGACTGGCAAAATCAGTGTAGCTATTTTACAAGTCTATTATCTACTATCTACTGAAGGCTTGCAACATGCTAAACTATTTAATTTTGACCAATTTCAGCTCTTAGCATGGTATGGATTGTCTGTCTCCCAACTCCAATTGAATCCCAGACCAGGCAGCTGTGCATAGTTCCTGGAGCAGCTTGCTGAAGCCAGGGTGGACAATAAGGACCCTGCCTTCCAAATATCATGGATCTGCGCTCTGATTGCTCTTTCCAGTGGTGGAGGTATGACACAGAGATGGGTAGTCATATTTGCAAAGCTCTATGCCAGTGACTAAAGTGATTTCAGAGAGGATTTAAAGGGCAGGTTCTATTCCTTCCACCTCTTCTCTTCATATTTCTCTTACTTCCCTTTTGGGAGACAGAAATCCATGGACCAGCACACTAATAATCAATCACATCTTTGGGGTAATCTAGAAAGCCTTTGCATGCCTAGGGAAAGGTGCAGGCTCAGGAAAAGCCTGAGAAGACCTTATGTTTACACCTTAGACTGATATCTGGTACAGAGACACCCTACAACCATTGATTATATAACAAATAACAAACAAAACCCAGCAGCAAACCCTGGTGAGGTGGAAGTGGCTTTCTTGAGTTACTACATTGTAAGACACAATATCTAGTTTTTCACCAATAAAAATGACAGGAAATACAAAGCAACTGGAAACTATGGCCCATTCTAAGGAAAAAAAAAAACAAACCAAGAGAAACTGTCCTTGAGAAAGAACAGTTTACTTTTTAGACAAAGACTTTAAAACAAATGTCTAAAAGATGTTCAAAAGAGTTCAAAGAAAATGTGGACAAAGTCAAGAAAATACTGCATGAGCAGAACAGAAATAATAAAAAGATAAGAAATGGAGAATCAAAAAGAAAATTGGAGCTGAGAAGTATAATTAAATGAAAGAACCAGTCGAGAGATTCAAAAACAGATTTGAGCAGGCAGAAGAAACAATCAGTGAACTTGAAGATACCAAATGTAAGGAACAGAAAAGGAAAACATTGAAAAGTGAGCAGAACATGAGAATCTTTGGGACTCCACAAAGACCAATGTATGTTATGTATTGGTCCAGAAGAAGAGAGAACAAAAGGGTAGAGAGCTTATTTGAAGAAAAAAATGCCCCGGAACTCCCCAAAATTTGATTAATGATATGAAAATTAACATCTAAGAAGCTCAACTAACTCCAAGCAGGATAAACTCAGAGACCCACACTGTGGCACATTATAATCAAAGTGTTAAAAGCCAAGGCAAAGAGAGAATCTTGAAAGCAGCAAGACAGAAGCAACTCATGACATACAAGCGATCTCCAATAAGATTATCAGCAGATTCCTCACCAGAATCCAAAGAGGCCAGAAGGCAGCCAGTTGCTACATTCAAATTCTTGAAGGAAAAAACCCCTGTAAACTAAGAATCCTATAACAAGCAAAACTATCCTTCAAAAATGAGGGAAAAATTATGACATTGCAGATAAGTAAGAGCTGAGGGAGTTTTTTACTACTAGATGTGTGAATAGTACATCTAGTACTACGTGCAAGAAATGGTAAAGGGGGTCCTTCAGCTTAAAGTGAAAGGACACTAGACAGTTACTTGAAGTAACTGTGTAACATATGATGAAAGATCTCTGATAAAGTTAAATACGAAGACAACTTAAAAGCTAGTTCTATTGTAACTAGTTTATAACTCTACTTTTTGCTTTCTACATTAACATATTAATGTATAATTAATAATTATTGGTCTTTTTGGACACACAACATATAAAGATGTACCTGTGTGACACCAATAGCTGAAAGGGGCGGAGGGTACACAGCTGTATAGGAGTTTAAAAAAAATCTGTATTACTGAATCTAAGCCAACATAAATTCTAATTGCATGATATAATTTTACCATGTTAAATGTAACCTTCTGGTAACTACAAAAAAAAAAGGAGTTCCAAAAAGTACACAAAGGAAACAAGAAAGGAATTATAACATTCCACTACAAAAAAAAAAAAAATTCAACTCAACACAGAAGACAACAATGTAGGAAATTAGGGACAAAAAAGCTGTAAAGCAGATAGAAAACAAATAGCAAAATTACATAAGTCCCTCCTCATCAGTAAAACATTATACATAGAAAAATCCTAAAGATTCCCCCAAAAAACATCGCATGTGAGATGCTTAGAATAAATGAATTCAGCAAAGTAACAGGATACAAAAAGAGCACAAAAAATTTCAGTTGTATTTCTATATACCAATAATGAGCAATCTAAAAAAGTAACTAAGAAAACAGAAAACAGTTCCACTTAAATAGTACCAAAGAATAAAATACTTAGAAATTAACCAAGGAAGTAAAACACCGTTACACTAAAAACTACTATACACAGCTGAAAGGAATTAAAGCAGACAATAAATGGAAAGGCATCTATTGTTCACGGATCAAAAGACAATATTATTAAGATGTCAATACTACCCAAAGCCATCTACAGATTCAACCCAATCCCTATCAAAATCCTGTTTTTTGCAGTAATAGAAAAATTCATCATAGAATTCATATGGAATCTCCAAGAACACCAAATGGCCAAAACACTCTTGAAAAGACAGAAGAAGAGTCACACTTCTTAATTTCAAATTTTACTGCAAAGCTACAGTAATCAAAACAGCGTGACACTGGCATAAAGACACAAACAGACCAAAGAATAGAATAAAGAGCTCAGAAATAAACTCTTGCATATATGGTCAAATGGTTTTCCACAAGAAGACCCAGATCATCAATGGGGAAGGGACAGACTTTTAAACACATCACGGGGGGAAAACTGGACGTCCACATACAAAAAAAGTGAAGTTGGATTCTAACCGGACACCATATATAAAAATTAACTAAAAATGGATCAAAGACCTAAACTTAATAGCTACAACTGTAACATTCTTAGAAGAAAACATAGAGGGAAAGCCTCATGACACTGTATTTGGCAGAGTCCTTGGAAATTACATCAAAGGTACAAGCAGCAAAGAGCTGGACTTCATCAAAATGAACACCTTTCATATATCAAAGGACACTGTGAATACAGTGAAAAGGCAACCCGCAGAAAGGAAGAAATATTTGCAAAGTACATTACCTGATTAGGGATTAATATCCAGAATGCACACAGAACTGTAAACTTGTTGCAGTCGGGGACCACGAAAATGAGAGACCGAGTCAGAATGAGGTTGAATGCAGGGGGCCTAGACTTCCTTGGAGACTAAGCAACGAGTCAGTGTGCCCCCGCATCTTTATTAGGTTACAGAAAGCAGTGAAACAATCATTGGTTAATAATTACTGAGTGTACTTTCTCAATGAATCAACCAACTGCGAACTAGGTATGTTTTTCATATTCCTATTTTGTCAAGTCAAGTCATCCGGTTAGTGAGTTTCACAGCATGTTCCTCGTCTGGGTTTGCTGCAGAGGATCACAGGAACCGTTTGCAGCTCCTGCTGCACACTGCTCATGAGTCACACCAGATTCCAGGAATTAACAGTTTGCTCTTTCTATTGGGTTGGTTTTGGCTATTAATGAAACTTAAGCAATAAACATATTGTACTTTTCTCTTACATTAGTTTTGGTTATAAATCAAGCTTTAAGCAGGAACTAAACTACAGCAAAGTTAATTGCTGGGATGTCTACATAAACTCAACAACAAAAAAATTTGGTTCAAAATTGGCAAAAGACTTGAATACACATTTTTCCAAAAAAGATGTACAAATGGTCAATAAGCATATGAAAAAATGTTCAACATCACTAATTTTGACAGAAATGAAAATCAGAACCACAAAGAGATACGACTTACTCCCACTAGGATGGCTATTATCAAAAAAGAAGAAACAAGTGTTGTCCAGGATAGGAGAACCTGGAACTTCATGTACTGCTTGTAGGGATATAAAAAATGGCAAAGCTGCTATGGAAAACAGTATGGTGGTTCCTCAAAAAATCAGAAATAGAGTTATCATATTATTTAGTAATTCCAGTTCTGGATATACACTCAGAAGAACTGAACCAGGAACACTAAAAGATATT